TGACTGGGTAAGTACACAACACGGGAGTCGGGACGTCACGTGCCTCAAAGGTTGAGAAAAGTTGAGCTCCGCCCACGTTGAGCTCCGCCCACGTTGAACTCCCGCCCACGTTGAGACGTAGCGCACTGCATTGAGGGGTACTACTAAATAATAATAATAATAATAATAATAATGTGCCTCAAAGGTTGACCTCCGCCCACGTTGAGACGTTGAGGCATTGCACACAGCATTGAGGGGTACTACCCTCCAGCTGCAGATTGTGACCAATTCTTGAAGTTTAGCTCGGATGACGGCGCGTGTCGAACTGTTCTGATAAAAACGACTGTAGCTCGTTGTCTACCTTGCTATGATTGTAAAGTCATTTTGTTTGTATTTTTACAACGTTATGTTCATGAGTTATTGATCCGCGAAATTCGAATCTGTGAATAACTCAGCTCAGAGTATGCTTTGTGACGTGCATGTCCCCTCGCTCTGAGTGTTCTCTTGAGGTGTCTTTCACTTATGTGAAACCCCTGCCTAATGCCTATTGCCAAGCACTGATCTTATATCTTTATATTTAAGGCCAAGCTCAAAGTAAAATCGATGAACCACTCCATTGTTGTGGTTTCTGTGTTGCCGACCTGACCAGAAAGTACTAAATGAAAAGTTATATGTTGCCCCTAGGGGGCTCCGTAACAAGGAGTTTGTGTTGTATCTATACAAAATAAATGCTTTCAATTGTTCTTTATTCATATTCATAAATCATAAATAACATTGATGCAATTTACTTGTATATCTGCTGATATTTGTATTATTGCTCCCCCCCCCCCCTTTTTCTAGTTCTTACAATTTTATGAGTACTCATATAGGCAAATTTGACATAAGAACGACAAAAAGCAACAATCAATGTCAGTAATTTCCAAATCATAAAAAAGAAAACATGTGAAAATACAAAATCAAGAAGAAGATAAGTAAATCCAGAGAGGGAAAAGAAATAATAAATAACAGTAGGCTTTATCCCAGTTGGATGCTTGGATTGACATCTATATTTATTTATAAAACCTATTATTTATTATTGGACAGTCAAAATAAGTACTTAATGATGTTAAAGACTTGTTTGACGCTCAGTATTCTTTCACAGATCAGAGAGTCCGAATGGCTTGGAGGTTTACCTTCACGCCCTCCAACTCCTCACCACCATAGATGAGGGCATTCAGACTTTTGGTAAGAGCGATCAAACAGTTAGTATCTCCGCTCAGCTGGCGGCACATCGTTACAGAAGTGTTCACAATAGTTGTTACCATCTAAAACAGGATCCTGAAGTGACCTCTCAACAGGCAAGGCGTTGTTTCCTTGTGTCTTCTAGCTGCACCTGATGGACCCGGCAAAGCAGTGTGGGAATTTGTCAGTGACGTTGTGTGTGAGGATCTCTGCCAGCCAACGGATCTCCCTGTTGTCCTGCAGGAGCAGAAGAGCATCCTGGTTCAGGCCTTCGCTGTGCTCCAGGCTCTGTATAGATGCCAGGAGCAGTGGTGCGACAGAAGTGACATAAGTACGTTACGTACCAGAGTGAAATCAACCCTGAGACGTACCATTTTAAATGCCTGTAGCAGCCCTAGTGTAGATTCAGTATATCGTGTTATTTTCTGGTCAGTTTACTTTGGACTTGAGTCTTTTTCTATAAATGGTTGCATTTCAGAATTGTTTTTAAATTTAAATGGAAGGATATGACAATATCCTGGCCCCATGTACCAATGCTGAGTCCTTATATCAACAGCCTGAGTTTGAATCCAATCATTTTTGTTGTTGCTGCATCCTCCCTATCGCTACACTTTTCATTCCATCAGTCCTGTCCATCAATAAAAGCCAAACACGTATATATATATATATATATATATATATATATATATATATATAGTGGCTTGAATTTGACTTTCAGTTGTCTTTTTCCTCCAGGTATTTCCCTAATTGGAACCGTTTTGCGGGTGCTTCAGTACCAAAGTGAGGGCAAAGATGACGCTACCAGCAGAGACGCCACAAAAGACGAACAGCTGCAGACCCTAGCAGAGATCACAGCTGAGTTTCTAGCTGACATCTGCATTCAGATTCCCCAGGTAAAAAAAAAAAGGGAAATGTTTTGTTTTTTCAGGTTTCTTACTAAGATCCTTTAATGCAAATTTGTATTTGTTGTCCTTTGTAGGACACCGTGGCAGATTTGGTAAAGAAAGGTCATCTTACAGAGAAGACTGCTCTCTCAGCTGCGGGCACTTTGGTTCCCAACTTTAAGACTTCAGTAAGTGATTTATTTCATAAAAGTCTTATGCAATTAGTTTGGAGCAACTTAAATCATCCTGTATGCTTTTTACTTTAGATTAAAAGTTTCCACATAACAGTTTAAACTTCTCATCTAATATCAAAGTATGCATTTTCTCCTAATGTTATTAATGTTGAACGTGTAGTATGGAAAAGTCAATAGCCAGGGAAGGATATATTTGAGCAAATAATTAATTTTATTAAAAAAGTTATTGTTCAAGGTACAAATATGAGATGCTTTGTTACAGCTTCTTACATTTTGCAGCTTTTTCTTTTTTTAAATATCTATAAACTTAGAGTTGAAATAAATATGCTATTATAATTTGTCATGCAAGTTTAAAACAATTGTAAATGTATATTGTTTATATATCATTTAGAATCAGTAATATTTTTGTATATCAATTTGACACTGCTTAATTTTGTATCGTATAATCATTCTCATGTTAGATTTTTGTATTATTGTTTTACACATTCGAAATAAATCAAATCAAATCAAAATATTACAAATAGATGTATTGGTTCAAATAAATTACACCTTGAATTTTCTGTTATGGCCTAATTCTGTGCAAACAGTTTTAGGGCTTATTTTAGGTTTAGACGTGTGATGGACTGCCGCTATACGCCTCCAGCTCCAGTGGAAAATAAACATTTAGTTTCCACCCCACCCTTCTTCCTCTTCTGCAGTTTCAGCACCTGCAGGCCATGCTGTCTCAGGTTGATCCCCAAATGGCAGACGTGGTGAGGAAGCAGTTTCCTGTCTGAGGCCGATCAGTGTTCAGCACTCGTCCAGACTCATCGCTGCTTTTTATAGACGCCTCTATTTCCAACAAAAGATCCTGCTTCAGGTCGTGCTATTTGGATTTCCACTGGAAAGACTAAACAAGGATGTCCCACAGGGTCAGAGACATCATTGACAGTGTTTCAGAAATTGTGTCTTTTCTCTTTTGTGCAAAATTCAATTGTGTTTCTGTTGAAAGTGTTGTACTGTTCTTTGAATGCTATTTTTGTATGAAATAATTGACAGTCTTTTAATAAAAGATCTTTCTTTTTACATAGACATTTTTACTGAATTATTATCATGATCTTGGCAATCGGGAGAGTCCCTCACCGACAAAAGGCAATCAAAAAAATAATAAAGTTAAATAAATTACAATTAGAAACCCGTACAGTGGTGAGAGATTTAGTTCGCAATAAGATGAATCTAAAAAAAAATGTTTGGCCTCATCCTTAAAAAGGAAGTCGTGTGTCACTGCTTTCAGCTCTCAAATACAAGGTGAAAAGTGAAGTGACTTTGTTCAGGGTTCCTACGGTCATTAAAAACCTGGAAAAGTCATGGAAATTCTAAATGCTGATTCCAGGCCCTGGAAAAGTTATGGAAAACAATATTATATTGTTTTCCATAACTTTTCCAGGGCCTGGAATCAGCATTTAGAATTTCCATGACTTTTCCAGGTTTTTAATGACCGTAGGAACCCTGAACAAAGTCNCATCCTATATCTGTATATGGAAACTTGGAGCCCTCAATCCACAATGAAATGGTTCATCAACAGTCATTGGTTAACGTATTTCAGTCAGACAACTCACGTGTTTCTTTAACATGTTTATTTGAAGCAGCATATAGTTGAGTTTGGCGACTAGGCTCGGGCATCATCACTCCATAGATATACATAGCACGATGAGTGATGATCAAATAACTAACCCCGAGCCTACAGGTGGAAGCTGGGGTGGTGGTGGGGCAGGCAAGCAGCAGCGACGTAAAGGTAGCTGCGGCAATAGCAGCAGCAAGCAATGCATGGAGAGAGAACTGGCAGGTTAAATAGAGCGGCATATTAAGGAGACTCTGTTTGGTTGGTTGCAGAGTGGCAAGGGGCGTTATGTATGAATGCAGCATAAGTGCTCGAGTTGACTGCCTGAACTAGCTCGCAGGCTTCGCCCCATTTATTATTTAGAAAACAGATTGAATTCTCGATTGGAAAGATTGGGTCGATGCAATGGTGGTGATTGTATCTGGGTTTATGCTCAGTACATTGCAAAGTACAGGGTTCACACTTTTTTCACCAATGACTTTTCCATGACCTTTACCTAATGTTCCATGACCAAAAAAAATGACTCTTTCTCAGCAGTACCACTGAAAATGGTTTATTGTAACATGGAACAGGAAAACAAGGTCTGCATATGAAACATGTTGTAAAATAAATAACTTACAGTATTTATTATCATTATAGTATTACTATTTCGGCGATTAAATAAAATATAAATTATATTTGATGCAACTTTAGTTACATTTTCATGACTTTTCAAAAACTTTGGGAAAAATATTGTTTTTCCATAACTTTTTTTTTTTGTCATTTTGAATTTCGATGACTTTTCCAGGTTTTTTAATGACCGTAAGAATCCTGTAAACATGCTTTAGCCACCAAAACAAATGAGAATAATAGAAT